AATGTGGGATAATCCCCTCATCTCAAGATCTTTAACTTAACCCCATCTGCAAAGTCCCTTTTCCACGTAAGGTAACGTATTCACAGATCCTAGGGATCAGGACGTGGACATCTTTGGGGGGGGCCATTATTCAGCCTTTTGAAATTCCTGTCTGGAGCACTGTTACTTTCCTCTGGAGGCCGTGGGGACGGACCACTTTGTGATGGAGGATGCTTATGATTCAAAAGGTTTAATTTAAATTCCATGATTTGTTAAGGGTCAGGGGCTTGCTTTGTTAGCCTTTTCTTCAAAGGCAACAAAACACTGTAGGGATGGACAAATCTGAAAAAATAAGGCCTTTAGGAACTCTTAGGAAGAAAATGAATTGGCATCCTTGATTGAACCTCTATCATTTGGAAAACAGTCATGTTAAATTACAACCTTAACATGCTGCGTGTTGTCACTGAGAGCGGGTCTCACTTCCTGAGAATGGATATCTTCTTCCAGCTCTGTTGCAAAGCATTTCTCACCCCTGCTGCTCTCACTGTCTCTCACCCTCTTGTTCTCTCTCCTTCGTTTTCTCTGTCTCTCATACACACACCCCCCCTATCTTTCTCTCTCTCTTGCTCCTTTTCTCTCTTTCAATGCCAAGCAACCCAGAAAAAAAAGCTGCTGGCTGCCTAACCTTACTGCACGTTAACTGCACTGCTGGGGAAGGTCAAGTTTGCTGCGGTCGATCCACCATCTCAGTGGCGTGCAGGAGGACTGGGCTCCACGTAGNGCTAAGGACCAGCAGATTTTCCGAGCGGTGCTTTTGTATCATCACTGCAGATATCAACAGAGTGAAAAAGGGGCAAATCATTCATATTATTATTATGGAAATGGTTTTGAGCTCCTTAAAAGGGTTTGAGGGCCCCTCAGCTTGGCAGACCACACTTTGAAAGCTGGTGACCCAGGTGAATGCCAGGGTCCAGTCCTACAGTCTAATCATCCAGTCCATGCAGTGGAGACCCCCTTCCTGACTGCGGGGTGAGGGAGATGACTCAGGTCTGCTTTAACTGCCAAGAGATTGCCTCCAAGATCTCCTTTTAGTCCTTGTTCCGTGTGCTTTTCCCTGGGGTATCTGAATCCTGTGAAGGACGTTGAAAGATGGGTTGTTGTAGTATTTCCCTAGGTTTTCTGGAAGGTGTTCTGTGGGCCTTTGAGTCCCTTGATCATATTTATTGGTTGCCCAGAAGAGCAAGGCTGGCTAGGTATTTCATCATTTTTCACTACTATTGATAGATCAGCTCTGCACTTATGAAGGATGAGTCAGAGGCTGGGCCCTTGGCCGGAAGTGTGGGTCTCCTTGGGAATGGTGGCTCGTGGTTTCCTCGCTCGGTGGCAGGGGATGCCCTGGGTGTCTTGGGAGGAGGTTAGAGTGCCTAGTAATTTCCACTAGGCGAGAACACGACTGAATTAGCTGTTCTTACTCCAGCACAGGCTTTACCACTTGGCTCAGGATTATTTCTGGAAATGCTGAGAGGTCCAGGAAAAGCCTGGCAGGTGTATTTTTGTCCCTTTCCCCTACTCCCCCACCCTAGATTGGTGACAATGTGAGTTCCCGTTTCATCAGTTAATCGTTGATATGTAAGCGGACCTATCAGTTCATGCTTTGGAATCTCTTCCTTTCAAAAACTAAGCAAATCCGGGTGCTTATTGGGTATAGGTCACTGAGCTGTGAGATCCGTGAACACCAGAGATGAATGAAGAATGGCTTTTGCCATTCCTAGACTACCGGCAGGAGGGGGGCGGGGTAAGGCCATAAGTAAGAGGGGACAAGGGCAAAGATACGTAACAGTAGCTAGGATTTGCGAACTGCTGTGGTGTGTCTGGCTCTGTCCTAGCGCTTTCCGAGGGTCTCTCCTTTAATCCTCACCACTGTCCTGTGGCAGATAGGCACTACATCTCCCCAATTCCTCCTCCAAAACCTTTGGTCCAGGTGTGTTTTGTGTGCAGAAACCACATACCACATACCCTGCGCTAGGGCTTGGCGGGAGCACCCCATGAACAAAACCATTAACATTTCTG